GGGACAGAAATGGGGTCCTACTGTGTGCTGGGGACACAGGGGCAGAAGTGGAGCCCTACTCTGTCCTAGGGACAATAAACAGAGCCCCACTGTATGCTGGGGACATAGGAACAGAAATGGGATGGGGCACAAGTTAGTCATTTCCATGCTAATTAAGCCTAATTATCCCATCCTTTCCCTCCCCGCCCCCACACACACCCAGTGTGGACCGCTGGCTTTCTCCCATACATCCAGTCCCCTCCATCTCCCATCTCCCAGCCTTTGTCTGGCCCTCCCATGTCTGGAACATGCTCCTTCTTCATTGACTCCCTCCCTTCACTCAGTGGATTCAGCCTGGTCTCCCGGCGCTGTCCTTGGTGCTGGGGATTCAGCCCTTTGGAGGAATGGCCCTCCCCTCCAGGAGCTTTCCTCCCTTGGGTCAGGCCTCTCCTGATAACTGCCTCCTCCCTCCTGGAACTGCTTTCTGAGATTATTCCCTCACTTGAACATAAGCTCCCTGAGGGCAGGTACAGCTTTCTTTTTTACTTTATGTCTCTGTCCTGTTCCCTTGCACATAGTAGGCTCTTTGTGAATGTTTGCTAACCTGGGTAAGTACAAAGTCACTGAAGAAGAGAATAGCCCTAGGAATTGGGCTTCCTGGGGCAGGCAAGTTCAGATCCTCTAGCCAATGGGTGAGCCCCTGTGCCTCTGAGATGAGGGTGATGGTCCCTGACAACCCTGGGTGGGGCAGGGGCACAAAACTAAGGATTTGGAGGGGGGTGTCTTAAAGACTTAATCATTTCTGCTTGACTGATTGTGTGTGGATCTGCCCTCATGGAGGGTCCACCATTGATTAAGCACCAACTGTGTGCAAAGAAAGGCCACAGAGAGTCCCTACCCTCAAAGAGCTATAGTCTAATGGGGAGAGAACTTGCACATTAATATATGCTGAGCAAGCCCTAGACAGGATCAATAGGAGATCACCAGCAGAGGGAAGGCCCTGGAATGAAGAGTTGGGGGGTGGGGGGTTAGCTGAGACTTGAAGGAAGCCAGGGAGAGCCCTCTGGGCTTGGGGGCAGGGACTCCCCAGTCAGCTCTCCACCCCCGGGTCACCTCCCCCATGTGGCCTGAGGCTCGGGAAGCATCACCTGTGTTTCCCCTCATCACACTCCCTATTCTGAATTGCAGCAAATACAAAGCAACTTCATCGTTGTGATCCACCCGGGCTCCACCACGCTGAGAATGGGGCGCGCCACAGATACCCTCCCGGTCAGCGTCCCCCACGTCATAGCACGGAGGCACAAGCAGCAAGGCCAGCCCACGTACAAGGACAGCTGGCTGCTCCGGGAAGGCCTCAATGTAAGTCTTCAGCCTTGCATGCGTGGAGAAACCTGCCTGTTTGCTTTTTTAAATTGAATTTAGTGGATTTTTTTTCAATTAAGTATTTTTCTCTCCCACCATCTTCAATTTAAAAAAAGAAAAGAAAAACAGACTCTTCTAAGAAATATGCTTAGTCCATAGAAACAAATTCCGCACGGGCTATGTCCAGAAATACCCGCGGTCCATGACGCCTCCGTCAGGCACCGTGGCGGTGACCCTGCCCTGCTCGTTCCACCCTTTCCCTGCTGACTCAGTTCATACAAGTCTGAGGCCATCCCTTCCGTGGTTATGTGTGGTTTGGTGATTGGACTACTTGTTAAAAGTGATTTTATGTTGAGCCCTTGATCCTCCGATAGGTCTTCCATCTCATCGCTGTGGGCCTTCTCTCCAGTGTGGCAGATCTCAGCCCATTCCATGGGTCTCTCTGGTCCGTGTTCTCCTGTGGATTCCTTGGAGAATCGTTGCCCATTGTTCAGGGGCCCGAAAACTCCTAGACATTTCTTGACGCTGTGGGCTGTCCACCCGTTAGCCCCTGTGCTTGCTGTGTGACCAAGCCTGCTGCTTTTCTAGTCCTCCTCTCTATGATAGCCTCGGTTCTTACCACTTCTGCAGTCTCTTGTGGCACGTTGTAGCCACGCACACCTACCAGGGGCCACTGCACCGCCCCTTTGGGGGACCCAGCCGTTTTAATCCTTTAGATTCTGTGTGCTGTCTGTGATGCGTAGCCATGCGGCATTACCCGAATATTCTCGTTAAACAAGACGGCCATGATTTGAAGGAGACCGCTGGGGTCATTAAAAGCACTGCACAAAATCACCTCAGCACCAGAATAACTGACGTTCTTCCAAATCAGGAGTTCACGTTAAATCCAGTGATAGCTGATGAGTGACAGAAAAGGCAGCTGGGTCACTCAGTAATTGGCCATTCCATTCCTACTTTTTGCCGCAGATACTTAAAAGAATGATTCCCCAAAAGAGAAAGCAAGTTTGTATTTACAGCCTCTTAACTTATTTTTGGAAGGAGTCACTTCTTACTCAAGAAGACTTTCAGAAATCAGATCACAGCAGAAACATACATAACTTTCAGTTTCAATTCAAAAACAGCATCTCAGAATTCATTCATTCATCACATAGCACAGCCATTCTAGAGCTATGGCGGGGGTAAGGCCGCACGCCTGTAATCCTGCTGTGGAGAGGCCTGGGCTCAGGACTTCCCAGCTGCCATGGGCTCTGCCAGTCAGGGGCCCACTCTGGGGCCTGCACCCATGTGGTGATGAGCCCACGGCAGGGGCAGAGTACACACAGCCTGGGCAAGGTGAGGAGACCCGGCCTTGGGAACTCACTGACTGACAGTTGAATAAAGAAATAAATCAAACAGCACAATGTGATTCCTGTTTTTTGATGATTAAAAAATTAAGACTCACAGAATATTCTGACCCTATCTCCTGCTTCTGGATTGTGTCTCTGCTCGGGCAGTTGTGTGTTTATAGAATGGTTTACTATTTTGCTCTTTATTCTTATTCATCCTCATTTCTGTCCAGAAGCCTGAAAGTACTGAGCAGAGACAAAATGGCCTTAAAATGGTGGACCAGGCGATATGGTCCAAAAAGATGTCCAACGGTGCAAGAAGGATCCCAGTGTCCCCGGACCAGGTGAGGCATTCGCTCATTTCTGTGGCTTGTTTGCCCACACCTAGTGCCCGATACTTCCTTATGTGAATGAGCGAGTGAGGGGATGAACAGATCAATGGATAAGAAAGGCATTTATTAGGCATTTACTACATGCACTGAGGATACTGTCAGCCCAAGAAGTCAGTACCTGCTCCCAAGGGGCTCACACTGTAATCGGGGGAGGCAGCACACGACAGGAAGGCCGGCTTCAGGACAGAAGGCAAGGCCTAGACATCCTTAAGGAATAGTAGCGGGGCAGGTGGGCTAAGACCATGTAAGTAACTCTAATGAGAAGGTGGTAGGAGTCTAGGGCAGAGAAGGGGACAGATGGTAAGGCCTGGAGGGTCCCGTGAGGCTGTGGTTGGGCAGGCCTTCATCCCATCACAAAAGATAGAGGGGTTGAGCCCCATCTCTTGGGAACCCTGGGAGCAGCCAAGCAGCTTGGGCAAAGGGACCAGGGAAGGGTGTAGGTAGGTAGGACCTCCGTCCCCAATGGCGGGTGAGGATTGGTGCTGGGCCTGCCCTGAGCAGACTCCAGCGGTGTTCCTTTACTAGCTTCTCCACTCTGAGTAAATGGTCTTCTTTGGCTACCAAGATCCGTCAGCTAGAGGGCAGCCTTCAGGCAGTGAACCTCTCCAGGCAGGCTTGCCCAAAATAGCCACGTTTACTCATTCCTCTGTGTTATCGTGGAGGGCAGAAAAGGCATATCCTCCAGAAGGAATCATACCAGTGCTAGCTACCTGTTATGTTCTGAGCTGGCGTCACTAGTATTTTAAAACCCCAGGATCTTAGAGGGGTAAGGCGCCTTGGAGCTCCTCTGCTGGCCCATCTTTGTTTCTGAGTTATGAGATATCCAGGCCAAGAGATGTTCCATTGGCAAGGCCACCTTTGTCATCGCCCTAATTTCAGGTGCCTAGACAGAGGTCTTACTGGAGTCTTTGAAAGAAGATGATGCAGCCTTGCAGAAACTGTTGGGAATGGTTATGATGTGCACCACATAAAGACACAGTCTCCTCTCAGCAGAGTGAAGCATTGTTCTCAGATCAATGACGAGTTACTGCTTAAATGAGAAAGTCCTGGGAAGGGGAAATCACATTTGTGAGCAGAGAAAACACCCTTTTTTCTGGACCCTTGGGGTTCTTCCCCCTTGTCCAGGATCTCTGGTTAGGACTGCCACCCTTCCTAGGCCATGGGAGAGGAGAGAAAAGCATAGTCTGCATTTCATGTATAAATTCAAGTTATTTCCTGAAACTCTCAGGCTCGATCCTACAACAAGCAGATGCGGCCTGCAATTCTAGATCACTGCTCTGGAAATAAGTGGACAAACACATCTCATCACCCTGAGTATCTAGTAGGAGAGGAGGTGGGTGATGTACTCATTGTTGTAAAAAGTGGGGAGGGGGCACTGGGATTAGAGGGTGGAATGGAAGCAGAGGCCTCTTTCTTTTCTCTTTGCTGCTCATTCACTCGGTGGCCCGATGCCGATGTTTATCTCTTGGCTGTCCCTAACCCCGCTTTTGGTCACTGAACATTCAGACTGGCTATGTACTCTGGACATGGGACCGCTCAGTTAATGTTAGCAAAAATCTCTGGCCTTGATCTTTTGGTAAGAACCAGCAAAACCTGAGACAGACGGTGGCCTTCACAGACTTTGTTTTTTATCCCCAGGCTTTGTATGTTAATCCATTGGACTGTTACAATATTCACTGGCCCATCCGCAGAGGTCAGTTGAATATTCACCCTGGACCTGGGGGCTCCCTTACTGCCATCCTGGCAGATCTGGAAGCAATATGGTCACATGTGATACAGAAATATTTGGAGATCCCCCTGAAAGACCTGAAGGTGAGTCAAGAGCCCCTGAGCATTCTGCCTGCGCTCCCCTTGGTACTGAGCAGCTGGCATCCGGACAAATGGAGCCAGCCTCCCCCTTCCCCTCTGCCCTCACCGGGGCTACCAGCTCGCGCTCTTTCTGTTCCATTAATCCCAAGGCACATTTCCCCTTCACCTATTTCGTGAGTTTTGTAATCAAACTCTTATTATTTAAAGAAAGACGCGCCAACTGTTTTCCATCTAAAACAAAAAGCCAGTAGACAGCAGAGAAATAGGAGATGTAAAGTCCTGACTTGTAAATGTGGACCGTCGAAGGGCTGTCCCTGACCCCATTCAGAGACGTCCTGACCTTTCTTTGGATGGGAACCGAATCGTCTCTTCTTGTTAGTATTACAGGTGCATCTTGTTAATTCCTGACATTTACAACAAGCAGCATGTGAAGGAAGTGGTGAATATGACCCTCATGAAGATGGGTTTCTCAGGTAAGAAGCGTTTCAGTCTGTCAGTAAGCACTTGTGGGCCTTCTGTGCACAAGGCAGTTTCCCTGAGTGTGTGGGGTGATTTATGGGAGTAAACCAAAAAGAATCTAAGGAAGAACTTAGTATGGGCCAAGCCCTGGCACCCGAGAGGAGAGGCAGGCAGCCCCTGTTCTCAAGGCCTCATACCCCGCGTCGGCGAACAGACGACACGTAGAGCGGGCCTCGGCTGCCCAGCCATGGAAAGGCCCAGGATTTTCTTGGGGGGGTCACAGTGAACCTCATTCACTGATCTGCCTTCAACACTGAGCACTCAGGGCCTGGCTTGTGGGCCCTGCCCAAGTCTGGCAGTGACCACTCTTTGCAGGCATCGTGGTCCATCAGGAGTCTGTGTGTGCCACTTTTGGGAGCGGCCTGGGCAGCGCGTGCATCGTAGATGTTGGGGACCAGAAGACCAGTGTGTGCTGTGTGGAAGATGGAGTTTCCCATCGAAACACTCGGTAAGGGCCCGGGCAGGTGAGCTCGCGTGTTTTTCCCCATGAGGTTGGTTTTCAGGGGTCTGTGGTCTCATCAGAGCGGGTCGTCCTTCCACCAATTCAGCTGACTCCTTTGAGCCTTAGAGTTGGTCTTTGTGAGGTGCTGAGCTTAGTGATTAATGTCTTGAACTTAGCTTGGTTCTCTGGTGACAGATGGATAATCTATCTCTGGACCCTGGCCCGAAAGCCCTTTTAGCCTGCTGGAACCGGCAGAGCCTGCCCTCAGCTGGCAGGTCACCCAGGTGCTGCCGTAATGAGGGACTGGAGGTAGAACTCAGTGATCATGGATTGGCTGTGCCAACACGCTCCCTTTGCCCAGGTCAGCTCTGAAAGGGCCGAAGCTGCCCCTGCTTAGGCTTGAGGCGGAAGGGGAGCCGACCCCCTCAATTTGGTCAGACTAAGGAGTTCGAATGGTGACAGAGTGCGCCGTGCTCTAGGCCTCACCCGCCAGCTGGACACGGAATGGAGGGGCCCGCTGCAGAGATCCAGCAAAAATGATCGCCATTGAAGACTCAACTGGTGATCTCCCTTCTGGCTCGTCCTGGCCCTGGAGGCTCAGTACATGACTGCTCCCTGCAGGTGGCCCGGGGGCTGCCGAGCGCCTCATCGGAGAACCTGCTGGTCTCCCCCCTGGGGAGAGCTCTCGTTTCCTGAGATGCCTTCACCATGGTGTCCCACAGCTAGTTCGCCCCTTCCCCTTTGTTTCTACCACTTCACCACCTTCGAGGGGTACGAGCAATACAAGTGAATTTGCATAAGGGCCTAAGCAAAGAAAACTGCTGACAATAAGCCCTCTGGGGCTGGGCTGGGCCAGGGAAAGGAACGGCGCTTGTTGTTTTTGTGTTATACCCAGTAACCTCCCTCCCCTTCACACCAGTGGGGTTATTGGAGAACGTTCCGCGCAGTCTCTGTCTCGGGGAACCGCCAGCCCCTCTCTTCTCTTGGTTTTAGGCTTTGTCTCGCCTACGGAGGATCCGACGTCTCGCGGTGTTTTTACTGGCTCATGCAGCGAGCTGGGTTCCCTTATAGAGACTGCCAGTTAACAAACAAAATGGACTGCCTCCTCCTGCAGCACCTCAAGGAAACCTTTTGTCATCTGGACCAGGTAGGCGCAAAGTCATGAGGACCAAGGACAGAGAAATCCCGAGACAGTCACGGAAATCAGACACCTTGGGACAGTCCGGAGCTTCTCCGAGTGACCCCTCGGCCCTTCACGGGCCCCTCCCAAGCACTGTCGACTGATTGACATTATAATGGGTGGGCAGGAAAAGGTAAAAACCTGCCTTGTTTTGGAACCTTCCATGCAGCTTTACAAATGTTATGGTTCTCTGTTTTCCCGAAAACTTAGGACATCTCTGGCCTCCAAGATCACGAGTTTCAGATTCGACACCCTGATTCCCCGGCTTTGCTTTACCAGTTTCGGCTTGGGGATGAGAAGTTACAGGTAACGTTAAGAACCCCTAGACCAGACGGTCACTAAGGCCTCATGATACGAATAGCAGAGAACACATAGTGCTAGTGCTATGTCACTGTGCTAAGTGATTCACAAGTCTTACCTCATTAGATCCTCAAAGCCCTGAGAGGCAGGTGCCATGATTATCCTCATTTTATAGATGGGGAAACTGAGGCATCTGGGTTTCAGTGATTTGCCCATGGTCACAGAGCTAGGAAGCATCTCAGGCCAAGTTTGAACTGAGGGTCTTCTGCCTTTTAGGCTAAGCTCCAGCTGCCGTCCTCTGCCCTCTGACCATTTGAAATAAATAAATAACTGGTGTCTCCCTTGCCCTGACACCGGATGTTGCCCTCTCTGTTTCTCAGTTTTACAATGATATGTTCAATTGTGCTGGAACAGGGGCGGCCGGTGGGGTGCAGAGTCCCCAGGGGCCTGGCGGGTCAGTGTGGCCAGAAAGCGGCCCCAGGAGTACATGGCTCTTCCTTCTCTCCTTTGCACTCAGGCTCCAATGGCTCTGTTTTACCCTGCGACTTTTGGCATCGTCGGCCAGAAGATGACAACGCTGCCCCAGAGATCGCAGGGCGACCCCGAGGACCCTCATGACGAGCATTACCTGTTAGCCACGCAGAGCAAGCAGGAGCAGGTCAGTCCCTGGGGGGCGGGGGCACTGTGATTGCTGTATCTGCGGGGCTTGGGGTTCCCCAGTGTAGAGAGACAGCATCTCCACATCTCTGTAGACCTTCTCGGTGAGTCTGCCTGGACGTGGATGGGGGAAGGGGCTGCGAGGCAGCAGGTGGCCTGAAGATGATCTGGAGGTTTGAGGGGACCACAGACAGAGTCTGCCTCCACAGTGTGGTGGCATGGTGTCCATGGCTGTGGCTGAGGAGGTCTTAGGCGCCCATCCTCCCCCTGGACGGACCATGGTTGCAGCCTCATTTACACCCTGAGCTGCGCTATCCTGGGCAGAGACCTCAGTAAGCTGGACATTATTCAGAGGAGGGCGGCCAGGATGGGGATGGGCCTCCAGCATGTGCTGTGGCAAAGTCAGCTGAAGGCAGAGAAGAGAAGGCTCGGAAACGAGAGCTGTGTTGGAGGACAGGTGGTCTGTTTGGTGGAGGAGGGGATAGCCTGGTTCTGTTCAGCTCAGGGCTGCCAGAGGGCCCAGAGTCAGCCCCAGACTCTGACTCGTTGTGGGACCCTGGGCCTCTGCTCACTGAAATGGGAAGAAAGGAAGGAAAGGAGGGAAGGATGGATGGGCTTAGCACCCCCTATATGCCAGGCACTGGGCTAAGCATCTTACAGATATCTCATATAATCCTCACAGCAGCCTATTTTACTGAGGAGGAAACTGAGGTAAACAGATTTAAGTGCCTTGCCCAAGGTCACCGAGCAGGAAGTATCTGAGGCTGGATTTGAACTCAGGTCTTCCTGACTCCAGGTCCTATCATCTGGGCTGCTTGCTGTCCCAGGCTGGCTGAAGCTGGGTGAGTCACCTCAGGCCTTGTGCCTCAGGCATCTCTCTGGGAGTGTAACCCACAGAGGGAGTACCCAGCACCAGTGGAGTCACAGGTGTGGACCAAAATCCCTTCCTATGACTTGTGGGAGGAGCACCATTCCCACACTCCTCCCGCCATGGTCTCCCAGAATCCTCTCGGGAAATTCCTCCCCATGAGGGCTCATCTCCTCCTGGTCTCAGCCCACCCTTGACCCTTGGACGATGGAGGCCGAGGTCGGGCCCTGATAAGGTGGTAGCCCGAAGGGCGATGGGTGCCGCTCACCTGTCTCTCCTGGTCTCATTTAAGTCGTCCAAAGCGACTGCTGACCGCAAGTCCATGGCCAAACCCGGTGGATTCGACAGTGACCTGCGGGCTCAGTCTTCAGACATGCCGGAAAGGCTCCATCCCCAGGAAGTGGAGTTGGGGCCATCTCAGAGCGACTGCCTGATGGCGGGCAATGAGTCCGAGGAAGCGCCCACCGCCATGATGTCCAGGAAAACCGCCGTCTCCCAGTTTGAAGGGAAAGCCCTGGGCCTGGACAAGGCCATCTTGCACAGCATTGACTGCTGCGGTAAGCAGGGCACATCGCTGGGACCCCCCACCCCGGGCGGCCTCCTCATGGGCTAGGTCGTTTAAGGACCCCCCTCCCTCGCTGACACCCTCGACTCCGGCCCATCATGGCTCAGTCTGTTGTCCGCGGTGGATCACACACTTCTCCACTTGCTACACTTGAGTGGGTTTTAAGCCCTTTGGAGTCATTTCAGTCAGTCTCCAGGTATCTGCGGGTCATCTCCTGGGCCATGATAATAATAGCTAATATTGAGAGGGCTTTATATATAGGATCCCATTGGATCCCTTAACAAGCCTGGAAGGGGGATGCTGCTCTTTTCCCCATTTTACGAATCAGGAAACTGAGGCAGAGAAAAGGTGAGAGACCTGCCCAGGGTCACACAGCTAGGAAGTGTCTGAGGCTGGATTCGAACTCGGGTCTTCATGACTCCCAGCCCAGTGCCCCCTGGCCTGAAGGAGTGGGCATATTACTGTCTTCACAGCCTCAGATGATACGAAAAAAAAGATGTACAGCTCCATCCTGGTGGTGGGTGGCGGCCTGATGTTCCACAAAGCTCAGGAGTTTCTGCAGCACCGAATCCTTAACAAGATGCCCCCTTCCTTCAGAAGAGTCGTCGAAAACGTGGAAGTCATCACAAGGCCAAAGGTAAGGAGCGCCCTGCCGGTGCATCCCGCATCCCTCCCCCGACCCCGTCAGCCTTAGAGCAACCCCAGGGGGCAGCAACGGCAGGCATCAGGCACCAAGACCGCTGGCTGCTCATGCCCAGAAAGGGTGGGGGGCTCACTCACCGTAAGCATCTCACGGGCTCCCGTCGCTCCGAGGCGGCCCCGGCTTATTTTGTCTGCGGCGTCTCCCCCGTTAGAGGGTGAGGTCCTTGTAGGCCGGGGCGGCTCTTACCTTCCTGTGTGTCCTCGGTGCGTAGCACGGGGCCTGGCTCACATCAGTGTTAGTAAACTGACAGATCCTGCTTAGGACAAGTTCCCGGGAGATAAGAGCCGGCTTTAGATCCCAGGCCTGATGTAAAACCAGCCTGCGGCAGCCACGGGAACAGAGGCTCCGAGCACACGATTGTAAAGTGCTTTAATAGGGTTCATTCCCAGGCCGTTTGCAGACTCTCGTTGGATCCCCACAGACCACCCTAGGAAGTGTAGTGAGAGTAGTGATCTTCTCATTCAGAAGACGGAGGGAGATGTGGAGAGAAGGGAGGGGAATGCCCCGTCCCCGGCTACGGCCCTGGCCCTCCTACGTGGTAAACTACCCGCCTTCCTGCACAGCTCAATTAGGCGTCTCCTCTGCAAAACGAGGCGGCTGGAGTCATGGCGATCAAGAGGGCTGCAAATGTCATTGGGTCCAGCCCCCTCATTTTACAGATGGAGAAACTGAGGTCCAGTGACATTTTGCATTCTGATTTTGAAAGTCATTTCAGTCTATTCCTTTGAGAATGAGCCAGTCATTGAAGTTAGGGTACCACGGGCCAATCGTGCATCCCATTGAATCTGACGGGCGTTTCCTTGGCCGCAGGACCACTCATCCATCCCTGGAGGGTGCACTCTCTGTGCCATCAGTACCTCAAATGAGGTGTCCCCTGAACACTTTCCCCAGTGTTGGATAGAGGGTACTTGTCAGAAACAGGATGGCCAGATTGATCAGCCTTTGTGTCGGGGAAAAGCACTCTGTGCTTGTCTGAACTGTGGGAGGAGAGCCGCCCTGGTCCACAGGCACAGGCCACGGTGGGTAGCGTGGTCCTGCGCCCAGTGTGTTGGCTTCTCACTAGGTTTTCCTGTGGTGCCTGCCAGGGCCTCAGTCCGCGCCTACTGTGACAAAAACAGTCGTTCTCAAAATTAAGAACAAAAATTGCTGATGAAAAGGGTAAACACTTAATTTTGCAGGTCACGTCATCCCATATGTGGGCTGGCCTGCCGAGCTCTGGTTCATTGTTTTCACATGGCAGCAGAGCTGAGGCTGTTGCCTGAATGCATAGCTGGTTCTGCAGCGTGTCTCTTGTGTGCACCCAGGACATGGATCCGCGCCTGATTGCGTGGAAAGGCGGGGCCGTGCTGGCCTGTCTGGACACCACGCAGGAGCTGTGGGTCTACCAGCGGGAATGGCAGCGCTTTGGAGTCCGCATGCTGCGTGAGCGCGCTGCTTTCGTGTGGTGAACCCCGGGTGCGAAGTCTAGCCAGCATTGCAGATGAGAGCAAGCCATGCGGCATGGAAGACTTGGATCTCATTTATTTTTCTAATTTATTGGTCCTTGTATTGGGTTTTATTGGGAGATCTATGAAATTTAGCTTTCTGTTGAGAATGTAGTAGTGTTTGTTTTAGAACTACAAACTGTACATACGATCAAGCACTTTGGAATAAACTTTGTGTTCTCAACCGTCTTGCCACATTCTTTGCCACACTTTAATCACAGAAATCCAGAGCTGCTGACAAAGGCCTTCGCTTAGGGTGGGTTTAGCCGTTGTCACAAAGGCGGCAGCTCTGGCTTGTGAGAAGCACATAGATTGTGAGCGCAGGCCTCTGACACATGATTCTGCCCCGGCTTGCTAGGGAGAGGCCCGCTTGGAAATCTCCGTTTCCAGCCTCGTTTCCTCTATTCTTTTATAGACCAAAGAGCAACGTTGGGCCAGTTCTCCTTAACTGCGTAGGGCTCGTGTGTGGCTTCCTCCTGCCGGCCTCGAGGGCTTCAAGAATGCTTCCTTCTGTGCATTCGAATTTGGGGAGGGCAAACACCCATGAATCAGAGCATAAGTAGAGCTGTTAGGGAATCCTTAATGTGAAAGAAAAGGGAACCAAACTCCTGCCATGCCCCAGGAGCTCTGCCTGCATGCTTTGTCATGGCTTAGCTATGGCTATGGACTCTCAGAGGCGTGGTCCAGGGAGCCCAAGCTCTGGGAAGTTCATCTGCTGCCCACTGAGTGGGAGGAAGCCCCCCTCAGAGGTGCCCACTCCAGGAGGAAGCCACAGAAAAGCCGTCCCCACTGAGCACAAGAGCACTGAGTTGTCTGTCCCTAGGCGGAAGGAAGGTCCTCCTTGGGCATCTGGGGGCCTTATCCTGTGTGTTATTAAGGAGAGCCCGGGGTGGGTTGTGCCACGTGGCTGCCAAGACCCCTTCCTGCGCTAAGATTCTAGTTTTTCTCTCTGTCCCAGCACTTATCACAGTACTGGGCACACAGTAAGCACTCAGTAAATGTTTTCTTCATTCACTCATTCATCCAATACCAAGTGGCTGCAAGATTGGTACAAGCGACACGTTGACATTCTCATCATGAATGAACTCAGAAGATGAAGACGCTGCTGTGTATGGAGCATGACTCGCCAAGAACCTCTTTGGAGAATCACGTGAAGAAATGGGCAGCCCTGGGACTGACACACAGAGGACCCCCTTTGGTGTCACCTTGGAGCACTCCTCATTGTAGGCAGACCATCTGCTCTGAGCTACCTGAGACCTGCGGAGGGCCAAAGTTAGCATTCTAGAAAGAGTGGCGGGATCCTGCAAACCGAGGCAACGTTTTCCTTAGTATCCAGTGACTTCAGCGTGGTGGCCGTGGCAGAAATAATGTCAGTCAGTCAACATTTACTAACCTCGTGCTCTTTGCCACGCACTGTGCTAAGTGCTGGGGATACAGAAAGGTAAAAGACAGCCCCTGCCCTCAGGGAGCTCCCAGTCTACTGGCAGAGACCACAGACAACTATGGACAAACGAGCTCTGTGTAGATAGAGTGGGGATGATCATAAAGGGAGTTAGGAGAGATCTGGGAAGGCTTAAAGCTGGAAAACATTACTTATTTATTTATTATATCCCCTCCTTTGGGTTTGCTCCTTGGCCAAATGAGTCAGGTCCAGCTACGACTGTGGAGCCTTTCTTTTCCCTCTTAAAAAAAAAATGTCTTTTTGTATTTAAGTTAAAAATGAAAATAAAATGCTTTATTGATCCCTTTAAAACCTCTCCATTCCTGAATGTATCCTTCCCTGCTCTCATACCCAGAGGTCCAAATATAAGAAGTAAAGAATAAGCCAAGAGCTGGACAAATCTCACCAGCCCCTCACTTCTTTGGGACCCAGCTTGGAAGGACAGCTGCAGAGGGTCCGGGTTTTGTCACTGTTGTGCTCTCTGTTCCCATTGCTCTGTGCTGTTTGTCAGGTTCTCCATCCTCCACTCTGTAGCAGCCCGTGTGAGTCTTCTGCGCTTCTCAGAATTCTTAGGGCGTAGCCATGTTTCAGCACTTTATGAGCTCCCCAGTCATCTTGGTGAATGCTTCCATGGCCATGGGACTTCATGTCTTTGATCCCTGCGGACCGTGCCCAGCGGCTGCATCTCGAGCTCACTCGGGGATAGACCCTCGAGTTACCCTCTTAGCAGTGTCCCCACTCGCACTTCAGAGAGGTGGGACCAATTTAAAGTTAATTTTTGCCAGTTTTCTGGGTGCAGGGGAAACCTGAGAGTGGTTTTGATTTCCTTTATTATGACTGGTTTGCAGCAGTCTTTCGTGTGGTAGTTAATAAGTTACAATTCTTTAGAGAACTGTTTATTCCTTTCCTTTGACTATACATTTGGATTAGTTTCCTATAGATCTTGGATGTCAGACCTGTATCAGAGCTAGCTCATTTAAAAGGATTTTTTCCCCCAGATCACAGCTTCCTAGTTGTTAATGCAAGAACCTTACACTTTATGTCATCACAATGGTCTGTTTTATCTTTTGTGATGATTTCTATCCTTTGTTTAGTTAAGAACTCTTCTCATAGCCAATGAAAGGTACCTAATCTGGTTCTTTTCCAGTGTTTTCATGGTGGGAATTTAATATCTAAATATTAAGGTTCTTTATCTCTTTTGAGCATATTGTGGTATATGGTGGAAGTCAATGATCTGAGCCCATTTACTTTCAGATGACTTTCTAGTTTTTCAGCAGTTCTTGTCAAATAGGAAGTTCTTCCCCCAAGTAATTTATATTCTCAGTTTTCTGAACCCAGGGCATAGTTTAGGTCCCATTGTGTCTGATTGCATCTTGTCTAGGCTGTTGTGATCTGCTGTTCTACTCCTTTATGTACTATAATTAGAGATCTAGAAGGGTTAATCCCCTTTTATTCCAATTTATTCTCCAGTTTTATTCCAGTGTTATAAAAAAATCATTTCCCTTGAGATTCTAGACCTTTTGTTCTTCCAAGTGAATGATGTTGTTATTTTGTCTAACTGCAGATTATCCTTTGATTGGTTTCTTAACCTGACTTTCAAGGCCATGATATTCCCTCATCCCGCCCCCCCCATGGTGTTTTGCATGTAGCAGGTGTTATGTTGACGTTATCAGTCACTCTTTATGTACATTTGTGAAAAGGAGCAAAAATAGTTAACTTCTCAGTTGTGAGGTCAGCAGAGAGAAGTTTGACATGCTTATTAGCAAATGCTTCTGTGGCTAAAAATACGTGGCCCGGAACCTGACCCACAGAGCCCTAAATGTTAACCTTCCTCCCCTTCCCAGTTTCCCAGCGCACCCCCACCCCCCACCCCCCAGAAGCTGACCACACATTCAAAGGGCCGAGGTGTTACTGAGCAAGGGTTCTGTTTCACTTAGTGTTCGTGTGGCCCCAAGAGAAGCCCTTGAACGCTTTTCCCCTTTGCTTCCTGAAGTTGCTCTGTCCTTCCTGGACCCTTTCGAGGATAATTAGCAGGGCTGTGAGCAGGTCGCCGGGGCTAGATGGCGAGGAGGTCTTTACAGAAGGGGTTGGCGTCCTTCATGAGCTGGTACCTGGGGCAAACACTGAGGGCGCTGTGTCCCTCTGCCAAGGCAGCCTCTCCAAGCGAGACGACCAGGTACTTGGCCAGGGAGGCCTGGCTTTTCAGGTCGCTACAGAAAAGGTTAAATGCAAGAGTGAAGAGGTCTTGGGAGCTCTCTCTGTGCCTGCCCGCACTAGGCTTACAGGAGCTGTCACATGTGTCCGCCTGGCTGGAGAAGAGGAACACGACTCTGTCTGCCTCCTTCTTCTGGGTCGTGAGCCACAAGACGAGGCCCATTTCTGCTATTTTCCTCTTCTGCCACTGGTCAAGGATAACGTCACTTCTGCAGTGATCCTGCAAGTACTCAGCAAAATCACAGACAGTGTGATAGAAGCAGGCTTGGGGGTGGTAGACCAGGAGCACCTTAATGGGTGGAAGGAGCGTGGGCGCATGGAGAAGAATCTTCTTGACCTTTTCTGTGAACAGAATACAAATAATACACTCATGAGCTGGGAGATGTGGATAGAAGCAGGGTGCTAGGAAGATGACTTCATCACGGGCTCTGCACCTGCTTCACAAGGTTGGGGTAAGGTCATAGCCTGGCCCTTCTGCCATGCCTCTTCCTCACCTAAGGGGCTCACCTTTATTTTTCACAAACTAACAGATGCTGTAAATGCATCTCAAAGATCCTTGAGCAATCAACACGTAACCTCCCAAAAGCTGAGGACCATCATTACGTACAAAACTGTTGCCCCTCCAATTGCCTGGACACAAACAACATTTTTTAAAGCTGTTACCATACAAATACTCATCATTTCAACCCTCTGCAATGAAAAGCTCCCAGAATGGAGACTGAGCAGAAAGAATCAGACCCCCCTAGGAAGAGGATGGAGCACCTATCACCGTCATTCTCCCATCTGCTAACAGAACTGTACTGATGGTGCTTTTGAGGAACCTCCAGAAGAGGAACTTGTGTCTCAGAACTTTGATTCAGTTGCCAGAAGCTGTTGTTTTATTCACCTGTGCAAGTCTGCCACATATTAAAACAAAAAAGAATTGTAACTGGATTCCTAACTTGCGTCAGGATCATTTCTATCTGGATTCCACCAAATATATGATGAAGGGAACAATATAGCTAACATTAATATTGACCTAAAAGCTGCTTCTGGGATCAGGTGAGAGGGACTTTTTAGCCGAGGTCTCCAAAAAAATTTTTTTAGTAGACAGGACGGAATCTAGGTGGGAGCCAGTCATAAAGAAAATAGTATTCTATTCTTGCTAGCATATATACACACAGAAGGATCAGCCAGTTTCAGAGTCTAAAATAAGGTAACATTCTAACTCATTTTGGACCAATTTAAATAGCAACAAACTTAACTGACTTAATTTATGGAAGAATTAAATTCAAGCTGAGGTTCTGGTTGAAACGTGGCATTTTTATCTTCCTCACTTCCCTTTTTAAAGGGTCTGAACATGAAGAGAGATACAGCATACAGGGAAGGGCCAATGCCAGGTTTGGAGTCAGAGGTGCTGATTTTGGATGGTTGGGGTCACCCTGGACAAAAACAGGGCGTTGACCTAAAGAGTCCCCACATCAGGCCAAAGGTGGGCCAAGTGGCTGTCAAAAGCTCAAGGGTTGGTGGTCATCCCATCACGGGCCAGAAGGTGGCGGCATCTCTCCACCTTCCTCCATCCGAGTAACCCCCTCATCAGAATAATTCCCAGAGCTCCGGGTGATGAGATTCTACCATCCATATTACAGAAGTACGCAGGAGAAAGGACCATGGGCCAGACACCATTCTTTTACTGGAATAACTTCACGGATTAAGAACCCTTTACTGAGAGCAGAACCAGGAGAATGTCGTACACACCAACAGCCACGTTGTGCGATGACCGACGTTTATAGACTTAGCCCTTCTCAGCAATGCAAGGATCTGAGACATCTCCAAAGGCCTCATGCTGGAAAATGCTGTCCACATCCAGAGTCTGAATGCAGATCGAAGCAGACTGTTCCTTTTTTTTTTTTTGTCTTGTATTTATACATTTCCTACCTACACTTGGAGCCTATGAGGAATTATGACTGAATATACATGCTTAAGTGTCAATTCATCAGTATGCCAAATACCACGTGAGAGCGTCTCCCTCCACGAAATGCAAGCGAACTACCCAAATGCCATCATCGCGAAGTCATAGAATTCATTCATCCTTGCTGAGAATGTTAGTGCTGGAAAAGACTGCCGATCTCCTCCCTGGCCCTTGACAGCTGGATTGTTCTTTTAGGCATCTGATAATCAGCAGCATTACCCAAAATGTCACTCGCAAGCTTCCCCACTTACCACACACATCCCTGGTTGGTCATTTTAGAAATGATCATGAGGGTTACTGTAGGTTGCAAAATAAAGAAGTCAGACATAGGTGTTGGTTGCCAGGTATATGAGTAAGCGTGGGTGGGAGTGCTAGTTTTATTCCCAACATCAGAAGTATCTCTGGAAGATGGGGGGTTATTCCACTTGGGAAATGTGACTCATTCATCAATGGGAAATAATTACGGCTGGGCCACCGAATCAGAGCCACAGAAACTACAGACCCATCCTGGAACACGATCAGAACCGAGGTCGGCCTTCTGCAGGAGGCAGAACTCATACTATCCTTTCCTTCTGGACTTTGAGCTGAGTGACCGGAATGGCCACGGCTGCCACTGGTCCATGGCACCTCTTCCCTTTCCACAGGTGAATAAAACAACAGCTTCTGGCAACTGAATCAAAGTTCTGAGACACAAGTTCCTCTTCTGGAGGTTCCTCAAAAGCACCATCAGTACAGTTCTGTTAGCAGATGGGAGAATGACGGTGATAGGTGCTCCATCCTCTTCCTAGGGGGGTCTGATTCTTTCTGCTCAGTCTCCATTCTGGGAGCTTTTCATTGCAGAGGGTTGAAATGATGAGTATTTGTATGGTAACAGCTTTAAAAAATGTTGTTTGTGTCCAGGCAATTGGAGGGGCAACAGTTTTGTATGTAATGATGGTCCTCAGCTTTTGGGAGGTTACGTGTTGATTGCTCAAGGATCTTTGAGTGAAGGGCTAAGTCTATAAACGTCGGTCATCGCACAACGTGGCTGTTGGTGTGTACGACATTCTCCTGGTTCTGCTCTCAGTAAAGGGTTCTTAATCCGTGAAGTTATTCCAGTAAAAGAATGGTGTCTGGCCCATGGTCCTTTCTCCTGCGTACTTCTGTAATATGGATGGTAGAATCTCATCACCCCGAGCTCTGGGAATTATTCTGATAAGGGGGTTACTCGGATGGAGGAAGGTGGAGAGATGCCGCCACCTTCTGGCCCGTAAGAAAGCGCAGAACAATAATGTTCCACTAGTATCTCCCCCTTCTCATTTTTAAGAAACACTTTCATCGCCATGGCCACCTGAATTCACTGCTGACCCGTCAAACCCATTTCATACAGATTGAGAGACAGACAGGTTAAAGGGCCTGCCCGAGGTTCTGCCCAAGGTGACAGAACCGGTGCGTGGCAGGGTGGGGACTCAAGCTGTGATCTCTTGAGCCCGCGGTCCGTGCTGATCCCATCCCATTTCAGCTGCTGCTCCCAGGTCACAAAGGGGATGTGTATTTTAAGCTCAGATACCAATCTATAAACCTGTGAGTTTGGGCCCTCACCATGCCTCCACAAAAGATACAGTCCAACTCCTAGCGCCCACATGGCCACACTCAGAGGAGGGAGGATGAGGAACATCTGACGTGTCCGTGGTTGACTTCTGTCTAACAAGAAAAAGCAGAACCACGGTTGAGTGTAAATATGGCTTATCTTATACTCCCTCTTCCCCTGCTGCACACCCAGGACAGAATCTCCCTCTCACCAGAGGAAAGACCAGGGGGCCTTTCTGAGAAGCAGCGTCACTCTCGGATCTGAATGGTGCTCGTAGGAGCTCATCAGTTCCCATTTGGGCCAGAAGACCCAGGAGAAGCAAATAGAACAAGACGGAGACCACCCTTCCTTCTCAGTCCATCCCTCCCTACCAGGATGCCTCTCAGCTCTAATTAGACACTAAGTGCTCCAAGGCCAGGGATGCAGACGGCTGGAGCCAGAAGGATTGGATAGCTCACCGAGCCCCTTCTTTTATAAAGGATGCTCTACTCTAGCCTGGTGAAGGAATTGTGATTTGAAGTCAAAAAGCATTGCTCAATCATGCCACAAGGACCTGGGAAAACTGATATTTGCACACTTACTCACGCTTACTGGATTGATGATTTCTGGACAGCTGACTATAGCTCCTCTGCGTCGTATGCAGTCATTGTTGCAGGTAGGGAAATAAGGAATTATCTGAGAAAAAAAATCAGGTTTGTGTATTTGTTTCTGGATATTTGGGCCACGTTCCACCCTTCCCTGCATCCCATCCACTGGCCCCTCACCCATGGTTTTTAGGGTGCAGCGGCAAAACAGGGTAAGACCTCTCCTTTAATGTGGCCAGCACTGTGCCTTCACGTTTCTCCCAATTTTTCTCTGAGAATCCATATCCCTCTAGGGCTGGGGAGTCAACCCTGGAAAGATGCTAAAAATCAAAATGGCTTTGTCCATCCATGGTATCTGAGTTTTTTATCTATTAAAAGATGGATTACAGTACTTGGGCAGAATATCTCACTAAAGGAGCTGAGTGTCACAGTCCATTGTATCTGCTTCTGAGCTGTCCTGGGACAATGAGACTTCACTCCCTTTTAGGACAAGGGGCTGATGGGAGGGAGCTCCTCCAGATCACCTTCTGTTTGAGCAATCAAGGTGCAAAGTAGTTTTCAGAAAAAGTTAGGAAGCTAAGGGACCCGCCCCAGGACACAGAAATGAGTGGTCTGACACTTAGGAATTCTCCAACTGCCTGAGTCCCTGTTGGATTACAGGTTGTTTTTCACCCTGGGGACCTCCCCTCCCCCAGTGAATGGGCAGGGTATCAAGACATGGAGCTGGACCCCAGTGTGTCACACACTCCAGCCTCTCACATTCACAAACAAAGCCTGCAGCTTTGCCGACCCCACCAGGGAGCTGGTACAGCCCCTCATGCTAGAGAGGTGGACCACGGCATGGGCCATCAGCCTTCCCCACCCATTTAGGTGGACAGCAACCAAACAGCTGGACAAATGTACTTCACAATGGAACACAAAAGGTGATCTGGGTAAGAAAGGGAGCGTGGGATGAATGCTGTCTGCAGAGGAATTCACTGGAAACCAAGGTATAGGGGAGGAGGGTGGGAAACAACTCAGTGAAGGGTCAGTTACCTGAACCAGGGCCCCTTTCCCTTTCTCCGCCGTCACTGGGATGATCACAGAAGCCCTGCTCTGGTTCAGCTAATGGGAAGAAGGACCACAGTTACATGGGACATTAAGGGGCTATGAGGAGGGAGAAAGCCATGCCTTTCAATGATCACTTCTGCTGCTAACCCCCCAATCACACCTCATCGACCACAGCACCTAGACCAGGGATACCCAGCACACTGTTGGCACAAGGAGCCTTCCTGAGGCAGACCCCGGTAATCATTTGGTCCATCATGAGTCCTTCTGAGAAGTCAGATCACCTGCCTACGCTGTGCCTGGCACTGTGTTACTTAGCCACTTATAGACAGAAGTTTCAATAAGAATATTTTAAGTGCCCCCATCTAACCAAAACGGACTCAGACTGTCTGGGGTAGTAAATAGATCAGGAACAAAGTTAGGTACCCAGTGATGGGTATCTGACTGAAGCAAGTGAGATGTGAGAAAACTGGAATATCATTGTACCTCAGGAACCAAGAAATGGAAGAATTCAGAGAAACATGGAAGACATAAAAACTATGAAGTGAAAAAAGCAGAACCAGGAGAACAATAGCATGATGTAAAGGAAGGGATGAACTCAACCCAGTTTTAATGATTAATCTTGGTCCTAGAGAATGGACAATAAAACACGCTTCTCTGCCCTCTGTCAAAAGGATTATGAAGTCAGAGTTTCCTATGCTGATAAATAGTCGGTTGCTTTTACTCAATCGTTTGTCCTTGTTCCAAGAAAGCATTCAGGAAAGTGATTGTGGCTTAGGAAACAAAAGCCTTCAACAAAACATAACCAATTAAGACACCCAGCCTTGGACCCTGTCCAGCTTCTCCAGGCCTGGCCTTCTCCCTTTCCTGGGATAAATAAGGAGGAGATGCTACAAAGGGGAAAGGGCCGAGCCTGGGGAGAAGTGAAGACAGTACCTCCAGAATGTCACTGTTCCCTAGGACGTCATCATCATTCTCAATCAGGACTAGGTATTTGAACCCAAGGCTGCTGGTGCTAAAATTCACCTCCACACTCTTCTCCTTCTGACATGCGGTGATGTTTGGGGTCCACAGACTCCCTGTGGATTATTCCAAGATGGGAAAGGGTGAGGTTACCAACTCTGCCCTCATGAAGCTCACCTCCCTCCATGGAGGTGAGCACCCGTACTCAAAGGCTCTGGGATCAAGCCATCACTGTTTCCCAGGAGAAGTTCTAACTGCCCCAGAAAGTAGCCCAGCACACTGGAAGAGGCATTGGCTCCCCCAAGACCCACCTCATCCACTCTCCTGGATGGGCAAGTTACTTGCCTGCTTTCTCCTTAGTAAAAGAAATGGGTTTGTCAGGAGCATCTCTAGGGACACCTTCCATTTCGAAGTTTCTGTGATCGAAGGGACCAAAGGTCATTCTTCCCTACAGTGGCTTTCACACGGTGGGGGGGGAGGGAGGGGGAGTCATCAGCTCATAAAGACATGGAAGAGTCCTCAAAGACTGTCTGGTCTAACCACCTGATATTACAGGGGAGGAAACTAAGGCCCAGAGAAGGGAAGGAGCGTGCCCTTGTGTTATGGAGGTAGTAAGGAGCAGAATCAGGATTCAAACCCAGGTCATGTGAGTCCGAACTCAGAGCTCCTTCCACTGTACTTTGGAACCTGGTTCCGCATCTCTTTCCTTCCCACAATACACATAGGAGGAAGAGGTGGCAGCAGGCTGTTGTGTTGGAATTTTCAGGGCACAGAGAGATTAAGGAATGTGGCCAGAGTCACCCTGCCAGCCTGACCCTGTCTAGCTTGCTGAGTGGACACTGTGTCCATGAGGGAACACCAAGAACCCCAAACCTCCCCTGGCACAGGCTCTGCACTGTAAGCATCACCTGAGGCTTTATTCACATGATATGCAAATCAAGTCCATGGTTCACTTCTGGGAACCTGAAGGGTGTGGTCACATTAGTTCAGGCTGCCTAGTGTCCGCAGAACTAAGAATCTGGTCTTAGGCTCAGAACCAGGTAGATGCCTTAGGAATCACTCCCATTTCTAGGGCCCACAAAGGTTCTACAAGAACTTGGCTCACAACAGCCCCATGAGAGTGGATTACAGCAGGCTTATCCCCCTTTTACAGGGGAGAAAACTGAGGCTCAGGATGAAATGGCTAGCATTTATACAGTGCTTTAAGGTTGGCTGAGCACGTTATAAATGTCTCTTTTGTTATGATCCCCATTCTACAGATGGGCAAACTGAGGCAGGAGAGGTTACGTGACTTGCCCAGGGTCCCGCAGTTAGTAAATGTCCACGGCTGAAAGGAGACATTGGCCATCTAATCAACCCCTTCATTTTACAGATAGTGAAACTGAGGCAGACAGATTAAGTGACTGGCCCAGGGTCCCACAGCTAGTAAGGATCCGAGGTCAGATCTGAACTCGGGTCTCCAATGTGCCACCTTCTCCAGAAGCCCCTCACTCACCATATTCTCGACACTTTTTTGTATATTTCATCATTGGGTCTTGGCAGTCTAAGAAGGTGAAATAAAATGTTATTACATTTTAGCCAAAAGCTCATTTCTCCCTCTTCCTCATCCTCCCCCTCTCTCCCCTAACATACACACGACTGATCTGATGATGCCCCATAATGACACAGCCCCGCAGATAAAGCCCAGAGCCAGGCCACTGAATTTAAATGCAGCAGTTAAATTTTAACACCAAACCAAGGAAGGAGATTAATGTGCTGCCCTGAGTGATGGCCGTGGTGCCATGCAAATCAGAAGCCTAGAATATAAACAGCTCCGGGTCCCAGGAGAAGGGCGGGATCCCAGCATGCAGGCAGGCCATCGGTCATTTCCAAATGAGGTTTCCTGTGGTTCCAGGACAACTTAAAGCTGGCTGTCATCCCACAGACTGTGAGACCATCCTGGCCAGGATCCTGCCTCAAACATGGGGCAATGGAAATCCTCTGCCTTGGCTCTCAATTCCTCCATGAGAATGACCCAGCCGTTCTCTTCTCAGGCACCCCTGGCTTATTTCTACTCAGGTGGGGAGGGCAAGTCCATCTGCAGGGCAGGGGAGGGAGAATGGAGGATCAAGGCTCCAGGATCCAATTCACTTGAGCCCTGTGTTCTCCAGGTAGCCCCAGGCCATAGGCTTCATTTCTATAGACTATACTGATTGTTTTCCCTAAAAGATTCTAAGCCACTTAGGTGAGGAGCTGCTTCACTCTTCTTTTTGTCCACCATCATGCACCTGGCACACGGTAGAAGCTTAGGAAATGCTTGCTGACAGATACACCTGAGGGTCAACATTTCAATCTGAGAAACATTTCTTAATTATCTCTTGTGGTCGGAGCTGCATACTGGGTGTGTGTGTGTGTGTGTGGAGGGGGGCATACTGACCACCTTAGCCGGCCCTCATGGAGCTATCAGGGGAACTGATGGACACAAATAGCCAAACTACATAATAATCCTCTTGGCCAGCATGACCCCATCAGTTTTTTTTTGTTTTGTTTTGTTTTTGGCAGTTGGGTTTAAGTGACTTGCCTAGGGTCACACAGCTAGTAAGTGCCAAGTGTTTGGTCTGAAGCCAGATTTGAACTCAGGTCCTCCTGACTTCAGGGCTGGTCTCTATCCACTGCACCATGTAGCTACCCCCCCCCCCATCAGATTTCTTAAGGCTGTACAGGCATTATGCTAGGCACTGGGGACATAAAGAAAAAATGAAAACCAGCCCCTGCCCTCAAGAGGCTGACATTTTGCCATCCATCACAGAGATATAAGAAAACTCCCTAGCTGAGGTGCTGGTGGGGCTGCAGAAGGAAGCCAATCGCTTGTGGCCTTGTGAAGGAAGTGGTATTTAGGCCAGGCTTTGAGGGATGGGAAAGAGTTGACACAGGCAGACTGGGGAGAGTAAAAGAAGGCAGGGCATTCCAGGAATATGGCGCAGCATGAGCAAAGGCAGGGCACTTCTGGGTATTCCTGGGGGACCACGAGGAGTCAAGTTTTGCTGGAACATAGAGCATGAACCAAGGAGTGGAATTACCTGAAGCTGGCAAGGTAGACGGAGACAAGATGGAGGCAAAGGTAGGGGGCAGCTAGGTGGTACAGTGGATAGAGTTCTGGGTCTGCAATCAGGAAGACCCCAGGCCAAATCCTGAGCGGTGTGACCCTGGGCAAGTCACTTAACCTCCGCCTCAGTTTCCTCATCTGTGAAATGGGGAGAATCATAGCACTGACCTCCCGGAGATGTTGTGAGGGTTCAATGAGATAATTATAAAGCACTTAGCATAGTCCCTGGCACATATTGCCAGCTATTATTGTTATTATTATTATTATCGTCGTTACTAAGATGATAGAGCAGCTTTAGCTAAACAGCTGAAGATTTCATACAGAGATCTGACATGGCCAGACCTATGGATGAAGCAGGTGAGTTCTAGCAGCCAGCCCCGGGGTGAACTAGAGTCAAGAACAGCAGTGGAGAGGCCACTGGTGACAGTGAGGGCCCCTGGGAAGGTGGAGTCCTTGAGGACAAAAAGATTTTTCATTTGTCTTTCTGTCCCTGCCACCATGATAAATGCATATTGAATTTGGTGGTGGGGACACGCCAGGAGAAGGGAGTCAGCAAGCCCAAGTTTCACCACAAAGGGAAGGAGGGGAGGGATGGCAAATTAGGGAAACCTGGACCTGGCTGTAACCAGAGGGAAAGAGACAGTGGACAACGCCAGCTCGAGGAGGCCAGAGAGAGACGGGGTACTTACTGCAGCAAAGTCCCAAGAGACATGGGAAGGGGTGAAGTGGAGGGATTCATCTTAGGAAGAAAGGAGGCCACTTCTAGCTCTGAGACAGAGGAACAGAGAACGGGAGGGGCTTCGGTGAAACTGAGAAGTTTTTCGTAGCTCTCCTAGAAGATGGACTGAAATGCTCGGCAGGTTGGCATGAGCCATGAGATATGAGAAGCCCCCTCCCCCAACTCCTTTTTGTGTGTCTGTAGAGGGAGTGCCCACGGGTGTGGAACACTGTATACATTGCCTGGTGGTTTTATTTCATGTACTGATTGGTTTTGCTGATTTTTTTCTTTTTCTAAAACAAAAAAAATCTGTTGTATGAGATGCTTTGGGGAGGGGGAGGGGAGCAAGAGATACAGAGGGACATTTAAAAACAAAGGAGGCTAATAAAAACTTATTTAAAAAATGAACCCAGCAATTTTCCTGAAGCACAAGTATTCCTGAAGAACAACTACATCACTTCCACACGTCGTTTCTCTCATTAGACCGAGTTTCTTGAGAGCGGGGATCTTGTTTTTGCCTTTTTATACCATACAGTAAGCCCATAATTATGCTTGACTGACTGCCTGAATCGAGATAGATGATTGCCTATGATAGATGATTGGGCTTGAGGATTGCACGTACAATGAAAGCTATCTGAAGCAAATGCAAGAAGGAAGAATCCAAGAAGGCCCTTACCTGGTGAGGTGAATTTCACAGAGATGGCTGTAATATCTTCGTTCATATTTGCAGGTGGGATATTATGGGCTCTGATGAAATAAGGGGTTTCTGGCTTTATAGGGAATCCAACATAATGAAACTCCCACTAAAAAAACAAAACAAGTCATGACTGTGAAAGGCACAAATTCAACGAACTTTTTTGGACGTTGATTTTCAGTATCTGATCTGTGGCTGAAAGTCATCAAGTCACACGTCAAGTTTTTATCTATCCTGCAAGGGACAGAACAAAACGTATGGCTTGAACTACCATAACTTATCAGAGCCAAAGAGGAAAGTCAACGGAAAATGGGGAGTGGAGCACTGGAGAAGCAATATGGAGTAGATCATGTGTGTAGAAGATAGAGTCTTCTTTTACTCAGGACCAAACCTCACTCAAGAGAGAACTGTGAAGCCCAGGGACTCTACAGGGGCCCTAGATAGGGTAAGCCTGAAGGGAGTCTTATGGGATTAAAAGTGATTTCTGCAACTTTTACTGTGTAAATAAAACCTGGTCTAAGTTAGAAGCCTTGTGAGTCAATGTGCTTGTAAAAGGATTGGGTGCCAGCACTGAGGAAATGTCAGCTACTGAACCTTCCAGGTTCTATCTGAGGTTGAGGCACCAAGCCAGATAAATAAGAGAGATCCCAAGTCACAATCAGGCCCTTGTGAGGAGGCTACCCATAGAATCCAGCAGTTATCCCTGGAAGTGACCAAGTTATCTGAAATACACTCTCTGAGGTTTCTTCTTACTTTGCTGCCATGGGGTGGGGTTTGACTGTGAAACACTTCTGTGTAATTGCATCTCACACAGCTGTAGGATGAGAATTGGCCTTTTCCATCCACACAGATCTTGGTGGCCTTTAGCATCTGGATGCTGCCTGGTAGCAACGGGGTAAGAGAAGAACGTCAAGGAAAAATCAACCAATCAACAACCAACCAACATTTATAAAATGTGTACTATGTGCCAAACACTGTGCTAAGCCCCAAGAATATAAAGTCAAACTGAGAACAGTCCCTGCCCTCAAGGAGTTTCCACTGTAACAAGGGAATCAAACCATATGAATCAGAACATAGAAGATAACCACTTGAGTGGAGGGAAGAGAATCTTACCGGGGACAGCCCTGAAAATGGATGGGACATGTGCAAAGATAAGGCATCCCCCTCCCCCACTCCATTGGACACCTTAGAGTTCGGTGTGAGCATCTCAGAGGGTGATAGGCTGGAGGGGGCTTTGCACCCAGCTGGGCTCCAGGCACCAGGTATAACATTCCAGCACTGAGGACCATTATGGATCCATGAGATGGGATCCTTGTGGGGTTTATCCTACAGAGGGCAGACTCAGCACTCAGCCCGGGCACCCTGGCCATTGGACACAAGAAATCCTGAGGTCATTTGCTTACATCCACTTTTGGAACCTTACAAACTTTCCAGTTGCCAGGGGTATTTTTTTCAAATTTATTTTGGCTTGCTTTGGCTGATTGCAGTAGACCCAATACCCTGGAGATGTCTACGCAGCACAGAAGTGCATTGCTGGTCTTGCTTCTACCATCCCTATATCCCACACTTACCATCCTGCTTGAGTGTCCAGCTTACGTTCAAAAGGACTGCATCCGAATTGGGCTCGGAGCTGGCAACAGAATCCACACGGAGGGTCTGCAACCCTCCTGGAGTCAGTTTGTTTCTGACTATCCACTCTGTAGATGGACCTTGGAATAACAACGGGAAAGGCTGACATTTGTACAGCGCTGTAAAGCCCGATAAGGTGCTATAGGTAGTGCAAGTATCACTGGAGGCAGTTTGATGGCTCCATGGATAGAGCACTGGATTTGGAGTCAGGAAGACTCAAGTTCTAATCATGCTTTAGACATTTACTAGCTGAGTGACACCTGTCAATCACATAACCTCTTCTTGCCTCAGTTTCCTCATCTGTAAAATAAGGGAGTTGGACTCAGTATCATCTCAGGTCCCTTCAAATTCCAAATTTGTAATTATCCCCCTTTCACAGATAAGGAAACAGAGACTCAGGAGGTTTAAGTGATTTGGTTAAGGTCACAGGGATGAAGAGGAGAAATTCCAGCCAAATACTACTTACTTCCTGTGTGACCTTAGCCAGGCAATCTGACCACCTCTGGCCTCAGTTTCCTCATCTCTAAAATGCAGAAGCTGGTCCACATGACCACTGAGGCCCCGTCCAGTTCTAAACCCTGTGATACACCTGTGTCCGTGACGTCCTGTTAGGGGGAATTCAGTACTTCACCTGTCCACAGCTCCACCTAAGCACACCCTGATCCCCCCAATGCCAGTGCCCTCTACACAGGCATTGTCACATCCCATAAATGTTCTCTCTTACCCTACCTAAAGTTACCTTGGGGTTATTTTGAATTTATTCTGTCTGTATTTATCTATGTACCTGTGACAGCGAGGGGCTCAGTGGAAAGAGTATTGAAAGATCTGAGCTCAAATCCAGGCTCGGACACTTACTAACTGGGTGACTCTGGGCAAGGCCCCTCACTTCTGCCTGCCTCAGTTATCTTATCTGTAAAATGGGGATAATAATAGCACCTCCCTCCCAGGGTGATTGTGAGGATTAAATGAGGTACTATGTGTAAAGTACTCTATAACTGTTTGCAATTGTTATTAATAAGTTTTTTGAATTCAACTGAAATGAATTAACAATGAACAAAAGACGAAAAGGCCCTTTGGAAAATCCTAGCTCAGCCTTCTGTAAATACAAAAAAGCAAAAAAGAAAAGCATCCACCCCCCTCTATGCCAAGTGACTGGGCCCAGCAGAATAAATAGTGGCATGTGAATGGTACGGAATACTGCTTTGGCATAAACAGTGACAGATATTAAGAACTCAAAGCAGTAGGGAAAGGCCATGGAGTGCTGAGAACCAGAGGACTCTGATGTACACAGGAGGGTCCGCAAAGATAAGAACGTAAATAGGTACGATAAAATCTGAAGACTACAAGAAGAAAAAAAGCACAAAGGGACCGGATGCAAACCAGTCTGTGGAGATGATTTTGTTCACGTTTCTTTTTCCTTTGGGCAAATCAAACTAGAGTTTGGACTTTAATCTGTTCATTCTGTGCTTTCCTGGGTTTCTGTATTTGACAGGTTGTTTTGAGGATAGCTATTAAGCTTCTAATGAAAAATGATTTTTGAAAGTCATCCCAGGATGGAAACTCAGTCTCTTAATTGGCTCCTAAACTCGTGCCGTGGTTGTGGGATTTCTCTTTGCTCCCTAATGACCACGATCAATCACTCTGGTTTCTCTCAATGCACCACAGCCAGGATTTTCATCAGACTTAGGTACTTACCCATCTCAGGAAAACACTTTATAGACTGCAAGGAAAGAAAGAAAGAAAGAAACCATGCATCAATCACATAAAATGACAAATCCTCGTAGTCCCTGCTTTGACCCAGATCTGCTTAACACAATACTTGGCACATGGCAGCTGCCTTTAGGATGTTTGTTGAATGGATGAATGGCTTATATAGACTGAGGCAAGTCCTAGGAATGACCTTGGAAGTCGAGGCATCAAGAGGTTAAGGAACCTGCCTAGATTCACACAGCTACCAGAGTGTTCCAGTGTGCCTTATACGGGGGCCAGACCACACACTTCCTGCCTCTCAATCACAGCCTGACTTCCAGGCACTCAAAGGGTCTTTCATAATGAGCACATTTTTTTTACACTGGAAAGTTAAGTTTTTCCCCATGACAAATTTTAGCAAAATCAGCTGGGAGTCACTTGACATCTTGCGACTAATTAAAGCCAAGGGCAGGATTGGTTATCAGTTTTCAGATGGCGCTGGAGGGGAGGTAGGGGCCCCTCAGGCACTTGGGGAGAGACGGAGGATCAGATCTGTGATTCCATTGAGGTAAGAACTCCCTGCAAACAAACTCCCTCTACTGATGCAGGTCAGCACCTGCTTATCATCTTGGAGGGGGAGGGGGTCTTAGAGGACAGCGAGGGGTTTAGTGACTTGCCCACAGAACACAGGTTTGCCTCATTCTGGCTTTGACTTTGGTGCCATGACCTGCCGCACAGTTAGAAGGCACCAGAGTCAGAACAGGTATGGGCTGGACCAGAGGTCCCTTTCAGCCTTGAAATGCTGTTGTCCTTCTGAGACTTGAACCCGCATCCTGTGACCCAGCTGCTTGTATTTTGGGGTTGTTGGGAGAAAAGAGCTTTTTAAAGGCTATGGCATGCTGGGGAGGACTTGCCTTGACCTAATGACCTCCTCTCCACCCGCTCCATTCCCTGGCCTCCCCCTGACACACTTGGCTGCCAGAGATGCTTCATCTCAGCCATATCTCTCGTTCCAAAGCCACCTCCAAGCCGGGGTGAGAAAGACATGGAGCCGAACTGCTCTCTTTCTGGGCCTCCTGGCGTGTTGATTTGAGTCCCAAATTCTCACCCACCCAACTCACTTTTAACTGAATATCCTGTCAGTGAAACCCCCCCTCTCCCCTGGAGTCCATCCGTGGCCCAGCCCTGACTGGCCACACCCTCTGAATGGCCCGTCCACGGCCCTCTGAGATTTTCTGGGGGTAAATAGCTTCTCAATGAAAACCATGCCAGCCAACCCTGAAAATCACCTGCCTCTCTCCTTTCTCACTCAGCTGAGAACATCTGCATTTGAGAAAAAGCTTTTAAAGCTATTTTGGCATCTTGGATGTTTCTCCTCTTCCATCCCTCCGATTTCTAAACTAAAGCATTCCCAGTTACATCAACCGGTGAAGCTGTTACCCACCATGCAGCACTGGAATTAGGTTAGGCTTGGTCAGAGCCATGAATCTGGAGTTAGGGGACCTGGGTTCAGATCCTAGTTCTGCCATTTACTAGATGTGACCTGCAGCTTCCTCCTCTCTAAAAGAGAGAAGCGGGTTCAGGGACCTCTGAAGTCCCCTCCCTGGCACAGTGAGCCCTTAACAAACGTTGGTTAACCTCTGCCTTGGCCCAGTGCCTATCCCACTATACCAAGTGACCTCAATCCACCCTTCCCTTAAAAGGCTGAGGTATGTTAGCCTTCCAAGAATAGCTTTTTAAGAGAAATGTTGCCACACGTTCAGCTCTGGAGACGTTGTGGGCCCCTTTGAGGCCCAATGCTCACATCTTCTGATAGAGGAGAAAGGAGTCTTAGACTGGGATGAAAGAATGTGTGTGCCAGGGGGTGAGGCTTCTCTCAGGAAGCAGCCAGCTCTAACTACAAAGCCCAGGAAAGAAAAACAGGAACAGAAACAGCCCCACTCCCTACCTCCCTAGACTCACCACCTGCCACCGGTCACTTACTCAAATACAAAGGCTGCATTTTGTAAGTGCTCGCTATGTGACTGGCAGAAAGATGAGACTATTTACAAAGTGCCTGGCACACAGTAGTAGGTGCTAGAAAAATGCTAACTATCCTCATCAGAAGAAGAATTATTGTCATTGTTTTGTGCCAAGCATTGTGCCGCTAAGTGCTGGAGACACAAAGAAAGGCCCAAACAACCACTGTTCTCAAGGATGAGGCTCAGTCTGAGGCAGAAACAACACGCCCCCGACTCCATACGTTCAGGATACCTACCGCCTAGATGGGAAGTAATCCCAGAGCACCACCCAGGGGCTGGCTGGGAGGGGAACTGAGAAAGACCCCCGACAAAGGGGGGGTGGGGGGCTGGAGAACAGTGAGCCAACAAGAAGGGAGACAGAGGGAAAAACCCAGGATTCAAACCCAGATCCTCAGACTAAATCTCCCCTCTCTCTACCAGGCTATCTCCCCATGCCTCTGTCCCTGTACCCAAATAACACAGACATCCTGCAGGGCTCAGGAGGGTCTTCATTATCAAGTCTGGGAAGTTTGGGGTGCAGGGGGCTGGGTTTTAAGGCTGCATTGTGCTGTTGGGTATACCACTCTGGTCCCCGCCACAACCAGATGAGCTCCTGGTAAGTGAGGACCTGGGCTTGGCCTTTCTTTGTATCCTTTGTGCCTGGTACATCGTGGGTGCTTCATCAAAGCTTTTTGACTACTTTTTCCTCCTGTAACTACCCAGAAAACTTCTAAGTGCATCTCAAGGGCTTGGGTGGGATAGGATGGGGTGGGGTGTCGTTGACAGTTGAACCTCAGAACACAGACTGTTCTAGGTGGAAGGGACCATAGGATCCCCACAGTCCCAGAATTTGGGAAGGGACCCCAAGCAGACCCACCTGGCGGGGAGGGGCTTCAGGGAAGGGGATTCTCTGGCAAGGAAGAAGGAAAGCCCCTGGCAGAGAAGGGCATTTTAGGGGCATTCCCTGGCATGGAACGAGCGCACTTTGGCAGAAATGTAGTCGAACTTAGACCTGAACAAGAATCCCCTCTGAATCACATCTGACAAATGGGCAGCCCAACTCAGCCTGACATCCCCGCTTAAAGCAGAACCCATCACCTCCCCAGGCCACTTCTGGATAAGTCTACTTGGTACAAACTTTCTCCTGATATCCAGTCCAATCTCTTCCTTTTACAAATGGGGACACTTGGGCCCAGAGAAGAGAAATTCCTTGACCAAGGTCTCCCAGGTACATGGTACCCCATGAGACAACCCACATCAGCCTTACTGTGTTACATAAATGCTAGCTATTGTGGTTATGGGTCAGGTCTGGGATTGGGGGACCACAGACGCAGGACTAGAAGGGGCCTCAGAAGGCCTCTACCGTGAACCTCCCCTCATACTTTACAAAGAAAGCTGAGACCCTGGCATCTGAACTCAGGTCAGCTGGGTAACCCAAGCAGAAGCCTACCCTGTGTCCACATCACCTGCTAGGGGAAATACTGCTAGCGTTTTATTCAAACTAGGAGGCCACACCCCTGCCCGACCCTTCTGGCGTTCTGGGGTCTGGTTCCTCTTCTGTGCCTCAGCTCCCTCCCCTGTAAAAGGCCACCAGACAACCTCTCAGGTCTCTCCCAGGTTGAAATCCGGGATGCTTCGATAAGATCCTGAGGGCCCTGTGCTGTTGTGGGTGAAAGGCAAGAGAACTAGAGGTGGGGGTGGCTAGCAGTGCGCCCCCTTCAGCCCCCCAACCCATTCTCTGGGGAGCTCCGAGTTCAAGGGTTCAGGGCTGGAAGGGCATTTAAGGGCCATCGAGTAGACTCTGGCATTCTCCAGGTCCAGGGAAGGGAGGGCGCTTGTCACACTGGGAGAGAGCCAGAACGCAGGCTGGGACCCAGATCGTCCCTCTCACTCGCGCTCGCGCTCGCTCTCGCTCTCCACTGCCGACGTCTGTACCAGTGAGTCTTCATGGCTCCTTCCTTACCAAGCCCCTTCGGGTTTTCTCCCTCGGGGCAGTCCACCCTTAGGTACTTCCAGGAGCTCAGCAAACTCTGGGCGCCGGGGGCGCCGGAGGCACGGACGGATGAGGGAATGGGCACGGGACAAGCCCTGCCCTGGCACACTGGCTGTGTGCCTCGGACAACGGGCTTGACTTCTCTGGTCCGACTCTGCTCGGCGCTCCGTGATAGAAACGACTTAGGTGCGCTCGCAGTTGCAAAGGTGACAGCATGCTGAGTGCGGGATGGGTCTGCCCGAGCCGGGAGGAAGGCACGAGTTCGGAGGTGGGAGCGGAGGCGCTGCGGGCTCGGGCAGCCCAGAGGCAGGCGGGCGCTGCAGGGGAGCGGGGCTTACCTGCTCTGAGAGGCCCCGGAGGGCGAGGCTGCTCAGCCACAGCACGGACAAGGCCAGGAGGGAGGGCAGCCCTGGCAGCATCTCCGAGGATGGACGCACCGGCTTGGTGCGGGCTACCTGCTTGGCTGCGGAGCTTTGATCGCTCCCGCTCCCCGGCCCCGCCCCGCAGAGGCCCCGCCCACGGGGTTGGGCCGGACTGCGCTGGGGGGGCGGGGGGGGCAGGAGAGCTGGAGCGTCTCCTGGCGCCTGCTGCCCCCCACCTCGCAGCCAGGTGCGCGCTCCGGTGTGCATGTCCTTCCTGGACCTCAAGTTTACTGTTACGTAAAATGAGGGGGGCGGCTGGAGAGGACTCGACGGCCCCCGAGGGCCCCTGCAGCCCTGAGTCCATGCCCTGCGTGGGGTCGCAACGAGCAACTGCGGGGGCGCATTGGAACCCACGGCTGGAGGCGGGGGACCGCGGAGGCGTAATGGGACGGCGCGTTCGGCCGCCCGCGGGCCACCCTTGCTCCTCCCTGGGACTAGGAGGCGGGGGAGGGGCGGTGCTCGCCAGGCCCCTGGGGTGGGGGGGGGGGGGGGGGGGGGGGCCCGCCTGCGCGGGCGCAGCCGTTAAAGTTTAGTCGGGCCAGACCCGCCCCCTGCCCGCCCCCTCCGCGCTCGGCCTCCCGACTGTCCTCAGGAGGGGCCAGCTGGGAGCCAGGAGCGCTGCACCCACGGAGCCTGCGGGCCGAGAGACCGTGGTGAGGGCGGGGGGGGGGGGGGGGGAGGGGGGGTCTGGGGTAGGGGGGTCCCTGGCAGGGAGAGGAGAGGAGCCTGGCGGGGTCAGCGCCTCCCGGATGTCCCCCCGGGCTCGCTGACCTGGGCCCTTTCTCTACTTGTAATCTGAGCCAGGGCCAGGCAACAGGAAGAGAAGAGGAGGGGAGTCCGATGCCAGTCTTGTGGCCCATCCTGCCTTCCGGGTCGCCTGCCCTCATCACAGGAGATAAGGTTCGTAAAGTGCTTAGCCCAGTGCCTGGCACAGAGCAGGCGATTGATAAATCATCCCCTGGGCGGGTGCGATGAAGAACCGTCTCCAACTGTCCTGGAAAGTGCCCATCAGAGCCCGGGCCCGGCAGGTACGGTCTTGGCTCGAGGCCAGAGCTAACTCTTCCCTCCCCTCCCCATCCCCACTCCCAGGGTGTTTGCAAATCCAAGTTATTCACATTGCTTTGAGATTCTTTTAAATTGACAGATACCTATGTGTGTTGAAGGTTTGCCTTTGGGACACTTAATCTGGCATTCGTGGGATGGCGGAGGGGGCTGGGTAGCCAAGTGGAGATCGAGCTGAACTTGGAGCTAGGAAGGCCTGCCGATCAGTTATGCCTCAGATACTGACAATTTGTGCCTTTGAAATGAGGGTCAGAGTGTTGTTGTGAGGGTCGGAGGAGAGAGCTTAAGTGAGCACTCCAAGGAAGGGTTTTAAAGCCAGATACAACTTGGAAGTGTAATTACTAGGGTTGGAGGGGACCACCCTCCTCACTTTACAAATGAGTAAACTGAGGCCCAGAGAGATGAACTTTGATAGCTCCTCCCAAAGGACACCTCCTACTTGAGCCATTACTGGAGAGCCTGCTTCCCTCCAGTCCCGGAGAGCCTCAAAGTCAGGGAAGAGCCAGGTTCCAAGTTCATTCTCCGCTGACCCTCACAAGAGCCCTGTGAGATAGGCAGGACTGTGGTTCGGTTCTTTCTTTAGTTCATGAGGAAACTGAGGCCCAGGAGGGGTCATTTATTTGCACACAAGTCATATACCAAGTAGTCCTGCCTAACTGCTGTGAGAATTGGAGGAAAGAGGTGAGGTTCATCTGGAATACTGTGAGGTATCAGGGGAGACTTCCTGGAGATGGTGGTTCCCGAGGCTTAAAGGATGGGGAAGATTTCAACAGTGCAAGATTGAGGACAGTCAGTGACATTTGAATGATCATGGAAAATGGGAATGGTGCAACACATCTGGAGAAAATCTCGTCATTTTCAAAACAACCAAATAACTGGAGCAGAGCTGCCAGCTCCAGCCCATTGGGCCCAGAGATAGATCGTAAAGGACAGCAATTGAACATGGAACCGACAGAGTGTTTGAGCAAGGGCCAGACCTACCCAAGGGGCCGAATTTCCTTTCCTGAGGTCGCTAACCTGACCAATCAGGGAAGTGTGGGCGTTACCGCTTACCCAGGTTTATCAATGATCTCATTATCCTTGAAGAAAGCAACAGAACAAAGACCACAGAAAGTGGCAGGCCAGGCAAGAAGACAGTTGTGTGGATTTGGAAAATGTTGAATGGCTGGGCCCAAAGAGTTAACGGTGAAGGGTCCCCTTGGCAGGGGCTCTCCATTGAGGTGCCCAGGGCTTTGGGCTTCAGCACAGATAGCAGATTTATTCCATTTGAAGATGGGCCTCAGCTGGAAAGGATAGCCAATCCACTGGATGAGGCAGGATGCGCAAAGACTTGAAAGGCGCTGTTGAGCATGGGGCTGAAAATTCACAAAAGGATCCAGTCTTGCACCTGGGTTGAAAAAAAAATCAGCTTCCATGCTGCAAGTTGGTGAAGGCCAGATCACGCGGCAGTTTGTCTTAAAAAAGATCCGGGGTCTTAGTGGACTGCAAGCTGAGTCAGCAGAAGCTGTCAGCTGAAAGAGAATTCTGCCTTGGGCTTCAGTGAGAGGCACAGCTCCCAGGAACAGAGAAGTCTTAGCCTTGCTGTCCTCAGCCCTGGTCTGACCTCCTCTGAAGTCCTGGGCCTGCTTCTGGGCACCAAGGCTCTGAGAAGGATCTTGAGTAGCTGGAGAGGGTTCAGAGGAGGACGGTCAGGATGGTGAAAGGCCTGGCCTGGCGTCCCTTGTCACCTGAGGATTGGCTGAAGGAGCTGGGCGTGGTTAGCTGGATTCCAAGGGCTGTCAGGGCTAAGGGATCATCTAGGCCTCTGTGCCCTTAGGGGTCAGAACCAGGAACAACCGAATTGAGGCTGGGGTTCACAAAAACTTCTGAAGAATTGGAGAGCTGTCCCAGAGGGCCATGGGCTGCCTGCCTCCAGAGGTTCTGAGCCCCTCTTCAGTAGAGGGCTTGGGGGAAAAGCTCGATGACACTTGTCACTCATTGTCTCCAGATGCCTTCATGGGTCAGGCAGCTGCTGAGGTCCCTACGGGCCTGAAATTCTGGGACCATGTTTTTGTTCCAGGCCAGGATGGGTGGTATGAACAAAGACTCGGGGACCAAAGAGGGTGGGGTAAGAATGGGGGCACAGAGCAGTCTAGATTGGCCTCAATGGCAAATTCATGAAGAGAGGAACTCGATGGGATTTATGGGAGAGGGGAGCCTTGAAGTCACGAACGGGAGTGTGTTTCATAGGCAGAGGGATTTGAACACAGCATTATTTGTGCGTTAGGATGACTACTCGGTGTGAAGGATGAATTGGGGAGGGAAACAAACTGGAGAGAGGAAGGCCTTAAAGAGGACCACTTGAGGACCTAAGATAAGAGATTGAAAGCCTGACCTGGGAGGGCCCCAAGGCAGCGGTACTGGCCAGACTTGCCTCTTTCCACCAGAGCTGTTGGTGTCCTTCCTGTCCCCCACACCCACATATCTCTCACAGGGATTCTGCCTTGGGCTTCAGGGTCTCCTGACGTTGGCATCCCTCAGTCTTGGCAAGAGCATCTTGGCAGGTTGGACCCAATGCTTCTCTATCTGGATCTTTCTTAGAAAGCAGGAGTTTTCATTTTTTCAAATTCCCAGGAGAAAATATTTATCAATCACACTGGGATTAGGGGGAGAGGTTGAATTTTAACCCAAGGACAAATATACAAGTCACTATTCTTCAGAATAGAAATTGGGTCAGTCAGAGAGCTGTTGGCCAGGAGAATTCGGCCTTCACATCCCAAAGGAACTCAGATGCCCCTAGCCAGGTAGAGCAGACCTTCAAGAAGGGTTCAGACAATCAACAGGTATTTATTAAGCCCCTGCTGTGTGCACTGCAACAAAAGTAAGAATTCCTTGCCCTCAAAGAGCTTATATTCTTATTGTGGAGAGGGGATATAGATCAGTCCACAACCCTTCATTGATCACCTCCTCCATGCCAGCACTGGGCTGAAGGCTAGGCATGTAAAGTCAATAGTGAAACAAAGTCCTTGCCCTCAAGGTGCTTGGGACAGGTAGGGGTGGGTGAGAGGAGGGAGGGGATGATCAAAGGAGTTCTGTCCTGAGTTAACCCTCCTCCCTGACTCCCCCAGCAGGATCTGGCTTCCTCCCAGGTACATTTGAACCATCCAGGTGTTTCCACAGGCATCTAGCTGCTCACACTGGCTTCTCAGAAACCCCGGGCGAGGGACCACCCCTTGTAGACTGTCAGAGCTGGGGACATGCCCTCCTTCCTGTGTTCACAGAATCACAGAGTTTGGGCTGGAAGGGACCTTGAAGTTCAGCTAATTCCAACCCCCTTGTTTTATAGATGAGGGAATAGGGCCCTGAAAGCTAAGAGACCTGCTCAAGGCCACACAGCTGGAATGACAGAAGGGGCCAACTAGTCCAAACTCCTTATTTGACAGAAGGGGAAACGGAGGCTCGGAGAGAGACGACGTCACACAGGTAGTAAGAAGCAGAGCCAGGATGTGAACCTTAGTCCTAGAGTCAAAGCTGAAAAGGTCTTTAGCATCCAACCCTCTCATCTTACAGATGAGGAAACTGAGGCCCAGAAAGGGGAAGTGACTTGCCAGGTCTTCCTGCCTCTGTCTGGTGCTCTCTCTGCTAGCTGTTCTTCCCATTTTCCTGCCCCACTTTACAGAAGGGAAGGTTTTCTTAGCACAGTCCCTCTTGTGTTTCACAAGAAGAAACCCTGGAAGAGTTACACAGCCAGCTTCTCTCCTTTGAGAAGGGCAGTTAAGCGTGCATCCTGGTACATGCATGAGTCCTGCCAGCCCCTGAGGCCAAGGACACGGCCCAAGGATTACCTTTCTACCCATGAGGTACTGCTTTGTGTCGGAGCCAGGCAAAAGCAAACCAGACTCGGAGGAGAAAGGGAATTTCCCCACGGATACTTTTTTTTTTTTTAACTGACCAAAGACTCCGGGCCTCCACCTGGGCCTGGGCTGCCCTCCCAGGAGGAATTTTCCATTTTGCTCCTTCTACAGCTATTTCTCAGGCCATAGACGCCTGCCCAAAGGCAGCCCTCAGTGGAGTCATTGTCTTCTGCGGGGCCTGCTGTAAAGGAAGTTCCAAGCTGTAAGAACACATTTGGGGAAAGACGGGCCCCAGAGCAGCTGTTAATTGAGCCCCCAGTCACCGGGAGAGGGGGCCCCTCTTTGGAGAAAGAGCATAGGGTCAGGGAAGATCTCCTGGATTTGGAGGTGTCAGAATGTCAGAATCCCAGCTGTGCTGCACAGTACCTGGGTGACCTTGCCTGGTCCCTTCACTGCACTGGGCCTCAGTTTCCCCATCTCTAAAATGAGGGGGCTGGACCCCATGGCCTCTGGGGTCCTTTCCAGCGTTAAAAAATATGATTCTGCCCTGACATGCTTGTGGGGGGAGACACAGGTCACTTCATCACCGAGCCCATCTCCTCATGTACATAATAAGGTGATTGGAGTTGGCCTGTTAGCTCTGTGTGTTCCCCGCCCCCTCCCCCGCCACCATCCCGGTGAGTAGGGCTGTGTCCGGCTGGAGGCCACCTACGGGGCTTGAGAAATGCGGCCCCCTCCCCCGCTGCTCTATCCCAGTCACTGCAGGGGCAGCCAGCGGATCCTGCCACCCATGGAGGTGCCGCTCAGAGCAGGCAGGAGATCTGCGAAGAAACAAAGCCGCTATCGTCTGCTTTGTGAGGTGCGCTGTTGAACCCCACTTCGGCAAAGTTTAGGGGTGAATCCTAGCTTGTATTATAAAGTTCTTGGGGAAGGACTGAGACTGAAAGAGGAGAGACAGAAGTGGAGAGAGAGGAAAGATAGGGGGGAGAGAAAGAGAGGTGGGGA